AAATAATCTTATAATAATCTTATAATAATCTTAAAAAAATCTTTAAAAAATCTTAAATAAATCTTAAAAAAATCATACAATATCAGATATCTTTATTAGATTTTTAAAAATATTATTATGCAATTCTCTAAAATTATTTAAAATATTTTCAAGCTCATCTTTATAGTTAAAAACAAGTAATGAATTATTTAATCCAATAGGTTTTTCTATATTAAAATTATTTATTTTAGTAAAGTAACTATTTTTGATTATATTTGTAATATTTTGTGTTTCACTATTTGTTAAATCTGTGTTAAGATTTTCAAGCTATTCATTAAACAGTTTGGTATTATTACAATCAATCTATATGATCTGAAATATCCAAAATAGAATAAAATATATTCATACAGTGACATATGAAGAAGCAAAAAATGCATTAAAAATTTTAATATTCAAAAGAAGTTTTAAAAATGGAGTTGATATAGAGTTGATATAGAGTATAAATTTTATATAAATATTTCAGTATTTTAAATTTTAAAATATAAGTTTAATTTATATATGAATAGAATATAAAGAGAAAAAATAGTTAAAGCAGAATTAGTTCCAATAATAGATTGGAATAAACTTAGTAATAATATATTTACTAAGTAAATTTATGTTAATTGATTGTAAATCAGATAAGAACAGAATTTAATATTTATGATAACTTTTATATGTGAATAGTTTAAATCAAGAGTATAAAATACCTTAAAAATTATTGTTAGGTATTATCCCACACCTCATAAAAAAAAAGTTAAAATTTATTATAATATTAGAAATTTGAAAACATATTCTTAGTAATTATTTGTTATGAATCAAGATACTTTTAAAAAAATTTTAAATTTACAAACTAAGTTTTTAATGAATTTTTCTAAGCATAATAATTATTATTTAAATTTTTTCATTGCCTCCAAAGAATGGTTTAAGATTATTTCTGATAACTTGAAAAAAAATATATTGATTGGTCTCAATTAAATGAAAAATAAGAATATTGTATTAAAAAAATAGATAAGTTTTTTAAAAATACAGATTTTTTTTCAGATTATATAGTTACTAATGAAAAAATATTCCAAAGAAAATTTGGTTAATTTTTTAAAAATCAAATAATTTTGATATTAAAGTCAAAGTTAATAAGATTGATTATAAAAAAGAGATTGGAGTATTTTATATTGACAAATTGATTTTACAAATTAAAAATTTAATTTTTGAAGTTAAGTTATTTCAACCTGAAGAAAATAGATATTGTTACTATGCCAGAAGCAAAGACTAAAAAAATAAAGAAATAATAAAATATAAAACAATTATTATTATGAAAACCTGTGAAAAAAGACAATTCAAATTTGATTATTTACATGAAAAAAGAATATCAAGATACCATCAAATCTTTGAAAAAATCAAATAAAATTAAAATTGAAAAATTAAAAACTGAAATTACAATATTAGAAACTAAAAAACAAATACTTGAAGAAAGATTTAAGACCTTATATCAAAATTATAATAATAACCTTTATAATAATAACCTTTATAAACTTTATAAAAAAGTTTTTAATAAAGAGTATATTAATAAGACTTATTTTGATGAAACATTATCAGAATTATGAGAATTTATCAATAATCTTGATTATTAATAGTAATTAAATAACTAACTTTGAACAAAGGTTAATTTACATCTCTTCTTAAAAGTCAATTATTGATAAACCATCATCTCTTGTTCGAAGTTTGCTATTTAATTTTTTTTAATAAATTTAATTTTTTTAAATTTTAACTTTTTTCATTTAAATTATCAATATAAATATATCTATTGAAATTTAAATTAACTAATGAAAATTTAATATATGAATAAAGCCAGTTTTGGCCTTTTTGTTTTAATTAAATATATTATATATACATGCTATATTCTGTGTAAATTTATTTGTTTGTATTTAATTGGTGATTAGCATTACATAGCATATAAATACAAAATTTGATAAATATAAATTTAACCTTAAATAAATGTTTGTGAATCATTATATATATTTTTTTATTTAGTAATGATATAGCATCTTGTATAAATATATTATTATTAATAATGTATATAATTATATTCTATTTTTATTAATTATTGATCTATATAAATAATTTCTATAGTAAAAAAAAATTTTAAACTTTATAATACCACATCCAAATAAAAAATTTAAAAAAAAAAACAAAATGACTCATATTATACTTCTCAACTGATACATAATATAAAATATGCTAAAAAAGATCATAAAAGAGCTACTAAAGCTTTAGAAAAAGCTAATATAAAAATTTCTAATCTAAAAGAAAGAAATAAAGAATTAATAATACTATTGAGAAATGTATGACTTGAAAATACAAAGTTCAAAAAAATGATTAAAAATCTTAATAAAACACATAATGAAATTAAAATAGAATTAAGACATCATTATAAATATTTCTTTAGTAAAAATTGGAATTTTAAAGATATAATTTTAAGATTACAATATAAAAATTACTATCTTGAAACCTACCTTAATAGATTGAAATGACAAAATGAAGAATATTATAATTTTATCATATATCAAACTTATGAAATATATAGAACTTATATTAACTAAGGTGATAAGTTTATTTTATATATTTAATATTTTTTTATTAATAATTTATTAATTTTAGTATATATTACAAGTTCCAAAACAATTTAAAATAATAATTAAAATACTATTAGTGAAAATATTTTAACTTAAGTAAGAAATTATAGTTTATTTTATTCCTATACTATTAAATTGGAAAGAGCCTATACTATTGGGCTAAGAAAAAAATCTGAATTATCTAGAAGTAATGTTTTTAGAATTAATAAGCCATCATCTGATATATAAGATAATGATATGATTATAAATAATAAATAAAATGATGTAGTTATATGATTTGTATAAGTATATATTTGTATTATTTATTTTTTTTAATAAATTTTATTAGATTAAACTATAATAATATATATAACTATAATGTATATAACAATTATATATTGTTCTTTATTCATAAACTATTATATATCAAATAATATCTTACTATTTATATTTACTATATTTCTTATAAATATAACTAAAAATACTAATCGAACCTATTCAACAATTATGAATAAATTCAAAATATTAATTATTAAATAAATATTTAATATATTCAAAACTCTTTTCTAAATCATTAAATAAATATTCAATATACTTAAAATTTTCTTCAAGTTATTAGTATTTGAATTTTTATAATAATTTTTTTAAAAAAATTGATATGTAATTTTATGTACATGACTAGATATTTTTATATTAAATATATAATTATTAAATATATGAGCTATTATAATACTATAAGGTGTTAGATCTGATATCAGCTGTATTATTATGAATATGTACTAGTTAATTAATTATATTTTCATTGGTGCATCTAATCTTTTGTTTTATAATATTGATAGTTTGATTGAAAAAAAAGCAAATATGATAAAGAAAAAATCTAGTAAATTTATTTCTTTTCAAATTATTTATTATGACTAAAATAAATTTTATAATAATGTATATAAATATTAGTTAAATAACTTTGCATATTTATTTATAAATATAGAATCTGAATAAAAAAATTAATCATGTTGTGAAAAAGTCAAAACCACAAAAAATATCAATATTCACAAAATCAATATGAATTCTGTTTAAGAATAAAAACACTTGAATATGATAAATACAATAAACTTTTAAATAAAAAATATAAACATATTTGTTCTTCTTATAATTTTCTGCTATTACAATATAATTTTGATTATATACAACCAAGTACATTACTTGTACCAGCATCACAATCTGACTATTTTTATTTAGTTGGGTCTATTTCAATACAAGATACATTAGATTTATTTAATAATAATAATATAAATAAAACTTATGAAGATAATAATACTGAACGACAACTTGGTACTTTAATTTTACCAACATCAGATGCACTTGAGAATAATGACAAAGATTCTGATAGTATAAAGTCTATTAGTAAATATAACTTTTTAGGTATTAAATTAATTAAAGTTCAAGATAAAACCCCAATTTCAGATAATGAAGTATTTAGTTCTTTAATTACTTTTGATAATTTAAGTAAAATGTACGTGAAAAAAGATCTCACAAATAAATACCATAAAGGTACTAAGACAAGAAATCTTTGATATAAAAATGATAAACTATCACAAAATGAAACAAATCAAGTTACTAAAGAAGCAAACTATTCAAATACAAATACTGAAGAATTAAATAATATAGATATTGGTGAATTAGATGAAACATCTCATAATAAATTGAAAATAGTTGATAGAAAAAATTTTGAAGTTGAGCTAAAAAGAATTAATTCAAATATAATTGAGTCTGAAATTAAAGATACAATAGAAAGATATAGAGCTTTATCTATAAAATATCTAGATAAAAAATTTGTAAAATTTAACATAATACAAGCAGATTCAAATATCAATAAGCTAATTTCATTTTCTACAATGATCCTATTCCAAACTATATTACCAATTCTACATAAAGAAACACTGCCAAATATTGAAGAGATTGCTACACCAAAACTATTTACATCAAAAGCTTAATCATCAATAAATATTAACTAATTAATATCAAATATACAATCTAATATTACTGCTCAAAAAGTAATTGATAAATTGGCTATAAAGTTAAGATAGCCAGAAAACAAACAAAATTAATACAAACTTCTTGAACAAAATAATATAAATAATATTACTTTTTTTTTGCTAAATTAAGATTAAAAAAATATAATAAAATATATGAAATATTTAAAAACTATAAGAATTTTGATAAAAAGAAGTATATAATTGTAGAAAAAGTAAAAATAAAAAATTTTGTTTTGAAAAAATAAGATTTTATTAATTTTTTAAAAAATAAGAAGAGTACTATAATATGTTGTATAATATTTTAAATATTTGAATTAAAGAATAATATATAGTTATTGAATGTGAAGCATCTAATAACTGAAGTTATTTGGCATACTATAATAATAATATCATGATCTGCATGATCATGATATTATTATTATATATGACAGATAACAGAAAGTATCTGGGCTAGAATTTGATCAGAAGATGGCTGGGCCCTTGCAGAGCTCAGACATCTCCTGATTAAATTTTAGCCCAGATACGACAGTTATTGGTGCGTAGCATCCAATAACGGTATTATCCATCAGATTACAATGATCGGGTATAACCTGAAGCGAGTAAATAAGTTTTAATTAAAAATATATAACGTTA